ATGGATTGACAGAAAAATATAAACATTTCTGCTTCCCCTAACTGTGTAGTATTATACACATTACTACCACTTTATATGCTGGATGGATTATTAGCAAAACTATATATTCCTACAGTTTTATAATTGAGGTTTTTATTTATTGTATACTTGAAAGACTTTCAAAATATATCATGATGTAAATTGATCTTGAACTTTGTTGTTTACAGATTGACCAATGAAAAATCTATCAACTAAACTAGTTTTAAGGTTAAAATGACCCCAAACACACAAAATACACATCAGGATGGCTTCTGTTCTTTTCTAAGAAATGATACTGGAAGGAACACAAGTAACTTAAACAAAGGAAATCTTACTTTTTTCACAAGACGTGCCGGCGTATCCAGGAGAACATGTGCAGGCTCCACTCACATGGTCACAGTGGGCTCCATTGTGACACTGACACCACTGAGTACAGCCCTGCCCATAACTGCCATTCACACACTCTGTGGATGACAGTGATGTGGACATCACAACACAGAAAACGTATGATGGAAGGTTATCAAGATTATATTGTTTCTGAATAATTTTTTGCATCTTGAGTCTTGAATTTTTAACCGAAGTGCAGCCTGTTAGAAACCATTCAATGTCAGCGGATTGTGTGTTTTTTTATATACAGTCTAGGGTGTTAAGCTGTAGTGCTAAAAATGTTGTTTCTCATCCCACTTATAAAGTACATCACAGTTTCAGGAAATCAATCATCCAAGGAATTTCTTTCCATGAACTCAAGATGCTAAACCTGGAAACACCCCATGGTGGCAGCATTCACCAAAATAAGAAGGTTAACTTACTCTTTTCACAGTGGTCTCCAGTGAAGCCGGTCTCACACACACACTGACCGGTGACCGGGTCACAGCCCACAGATTTGTCCTGGCACTGACATTTAGTGGTGCACCCTTGGCCCCAGTAACCAGACTCACAGGCTGTGAAAGTCAGGAAGTGTTGCAGTGAAAGTTATGCACAATGTACTAATGATACATTTTTACCGAGCTAACCCATAACATGGCAATTTCCTTAAATATAATTTTAAAAATAAACAGGTGACATGAGGTTCAGTATATTTTCAGAGTAAGTGCAGTTCTCACATGTTGCACAGTCGTGGCCTGTTTTACCAGGAGGGCAGACACAGTGTCCAGTGTGTGGGTCACAGCGGGCGTCAGGGTGGCATGAACAGTGCATGAAGCAGCCTGCTCCATGGTAACCTGGAGGACACTCTGAACACAGCAGACATCCACAGGACACATACTTTAGCAATTATTCAAAAATAGTTAAATAAATATCTTCATTGGAAGCATACAGATTTGAATAATTAAGTTAATTATAATATAAAGATGGACAGCATGTTTCCACCTCATCCCACTATCCAGACATGAACCTAAAATATCCCGGATCGGACAATGCACTATAATGCATTTGGAACCAGATTCTGTGCAGTTGCAATGTGGGGACGGAGCCGTAGTAGCAAGGACACACTCGACTAATTAATAGTCAGTCTCAGTTGTCAATCACGATGTTTCACCTTCGTTTTACTCACTGTTCTGACAGAGGTCTCCCGTGAAGCCTGGTGTACAATCACAGCCTCCAGTCTGCTTGTTGCAGGAGCCTCCATTCTGGCAGCCAGGACAAGACGACTGGCACTTCAACCCCCAGAATCCATCAGGGCAGTCTGGGGAGCATCAAGTGTTTTTCAGATTAACTGAGCAATAATCCACTTATGTTAGTAACTTCGCTGTTAAGCCCTAAAGCTTCTTATGCCTAAATAATTTGAGAGAGGAATGCCTTAAAAAGGTCTGATGAAACAATTAACACTGGGCAAGTGAGCTTTAAAGCAAAGGACAAGTTTCTGATGGGTTTGGTTTAGAGAAGGACAACGGACAAAAAAACAATGGTGTCTTTGTGGCTAGAAATAATACTGCAAGCTGGTAGCGAGTCAGTGAGTTCAAACTGTCCCTCGACCCATGGTCCTCATCCTATAATCTGCAACACGATCAGGCTAAAATGTCCCAAAAGTCAGGAGACATATTGTGCTTTTATAATTTTCCCTTTGTGGCACATGGAGTATTATTGTACGTAAAAGGTCTACAAAGGTAGCCTTACAGAGTTTCAGACAGAGGCTGAAAAGAGGAGCTGCAGCAATGGACAGTATGAGGAAAATGATGTGTTTACTTAACCTTAGTGCATGAAAACCTAGTAGTAGCCCACATTGAAATCATGATCCTTAAAAGGACAATGAAATAAAGTCAACATACGGTACCTTCCTGACAGGAGTGTCCTTTCTTCCCAGGGGGACAGATGCACTCTCCAGTTAGAGGATCACACAGAGTTCCTCCACAGTCACAGGTTAGATGACAGTTTTGTCCATAGCTCCCAGCTTTGCAGGCTGGTAACGATACACAATAAAAACATGAAATAAAAAAGTGGAGATTACAACAGTCCAGTGTAAGACCAGAAAAACCACAAGATTACAGGATTACACAATATTGCACAAATGGGCTAAGGGAGAAATACAGAAGTGAAATGTTCACTCATTTACTGTTTATTTATTCAGCCTCTGCAGTAGTAACTCAAATAAATCACCTCTGTCATGACCTGGCCAGCAACTTTAGATCAGTACAAGTCAGAAAATTTGGAAGACTCTGTTTTTATATTTTGAGATTGGCAAACTCTGCAAGCCTGGGCCTGGGCCGTGCATTAGTGCTGACACACTATAAATCAGTCATGTTATCTTAATCCGCTCCACGGAGACACAAAGTCACGTTTTATACCAAAGGCTCCGGAACGATATTTAGTACCACTTTAGATCAAAACACAGAGGGTTGAACTTTCCATCAACCAGCAGAGCAAACAGCCGGAGGACGCCCTGCTGCAGAGGAACACCTCATAATAACAGGAACACCTGCACTGACCAGGTGAGTTGAAAAGAAAGACTTTTCTTTCATTTCAATTACTAAATCCACTCAATCTATCAAAGGTAACAGAGAGTGAATAGAAGGAGAAAATAAAGGAGGATTTATTGGCGTTATGGTTAAAAAGAAAAAGATGGTGACAAAGGGGAAGAAATTGCAGGAACTCATCAATAACATTTTGTGTGATTGGTTTATCAGAAACATCTGCACAAGCATGAAGTATGCAAACAAAAACCCTGCATGCAGACACCGGTGTAAGTATGAAAGGTTATACTGTATGTATTCACAGTGGTGCTTTGACATATAACCACAAGAGAGCGCTGTGGAGTCAAGGTTGATGGAGGAGTTCTTGCTGTACATGAACACTTTGTCGGAAACATTTGAAAAAAAAATTTGATTTTATGGATGAAATATTTAAACATAAATTAGACTCTGCACTTCCTTATTTGTACAACAGCCCTTTTGTAGTTTGATGAACATAATGTTATTATAAAAGGGCATTACAGCAGCTTTTCATCTCACCGAGCTGACATCTATTTCCATGAAGTCCCGCAGGACAGCGCTGGCTGCACTCTCCGCTCCTGGGGTCACATGGTCCCCCACCTGGACAGTCACATGGCTGCTCACAGCCTGCACCGAAGAAGCCAGGATCACATTCTACAATAAGGGAACAGAAACAAACACACATGGAGCAAAAGAAGATTAATATAACAGACAATCTCAAACCAAACATTTTGCAAAACCATGGAGCGTTGTCAGAAACTTGATGATTCTGAAATCTCTGTGGATGATCTCAAGCTGCTTCTCTATATATTATATAGAGACCTATAGACCTTTACTGCATTTGTCAAAATACCCCCAAGTTTATCCCACCAGCCAAGGAGATTAACTAGGATCTTAATAAGGGGTTAGGGTTAAGGCTGTGGAATGGTCATTTCAGCAGTATGTCTATATCAGTTTTGGGCTGAAAAGTGCATGTTAGGCAGTTGATCTGAAATTGTTTTCTTTATTTAACTAGACTCAAATCTTAACCCTTTCATTCCTGAGGCCTTGGAAACTGATGAACGTGTTGGTGTCCTGGTGAAGCGTCCCTACCTTTCTCACACTCTGGGCCATGGTATGCAGCTTTACAGAAACAGCTCCCCGTTTTGGGGTCACAGCCAGAGGAATGTTCTTGAACACAGTCGCATTCCTTGGAACAGCCTGCGCCGTGCGTCCACCTGGGACAAGCTGAGGGCCGGACGGGATGGATCAGTTTAAAAACAGAACAAAAGAAAAGCAAAGTTATTGGTCTATTTACAGTGGAGAATGGTGTCAATAGGTTCTCACACAAATGCTGATCAAACAGCATGAAGGACTGTGTTGCTGCACTAAAATGACTTCATAAACGTTTCTTTAAAGTTAAGCAATACAATATTTGCTTGTAGGAGTGAGTTCATAAAGAAAAAATGTTGAAATATCGGATTACATTTTGTCAAACAAACACACCCTGCCACCGTGTTATCACAGTGCCAGACCTCCGCTAGTTAAAGTCATGTGAACGCAGACTCCTGTTTCACTTGATTTATAGAACATCATGCACAATTATGGTGCATCGTTCATCTCTACTATATCAGTATAATCACAAATATAACTTGAGAGCAGGCCAGTTACTTGTGCAAATGCTTTCCTGCAAAGTTTGAGTTGTATAAATAATGATGGCGGCAACTTCATGGCCACTGTTTTTGGAGGTTTTCTGCAAATGCATCACATAAACAGACACATTGAAAAAATATACATTGAGTGTAACGCAAGACATTGGAAACTTAAACACTGCCATGTCTTCATTAAGTGCTTAAAACAAAAAGATTTTGCCAAGAGAGTCTCTACTCAGCAACAAAATGCTGAACTCCACTCCACCCTGTCCCTCTCCACATTGGCTTTATGTTAGGTGCAGCTGCAGGCTCTGGTTACACCCTCTCCACCCTTTCTATGTCCCGCTGCAGGATGGAGCAGACAGCTGTGAGAATCTGATAATATTCCTCGTGCACATTCCTCCGTCATTCGGTTTTTGGTCTTAGAAGGGTAAGCAGCCTCCATACTGAGACAATCGAGAGCAAAACAAAAGTCAAGATGTCCATCCGGAGGCTCAGGAGCAGCCCTAAAATGCTGGGAGATGTCAATATGGTGACAGAGGAGCTGAAGAACCTTTATTACAAGAGGCTGCTGCCGATAGAGAAATATTACGCCTTCCATCACTTCCACACGCCGAGCTATGAGGACGCAGACTTTGACAACAAGCCAATGGTGCTGGTGATGGGCCAGTACTCAACAGGAAAGACAACTTTTATCAGGTAAGATTGTGGACTCCCATGCTTCAGGCAACACAAAAATGCAGATTTCTTGCATTTTGTGCATGTGATTAACCCTGTGTTGGAACATGATGTGGTGCTCTACATTGTGTGTGTCTTCAGGTATCTCATAGAGCAAGATTTCCCTGGTAGCAGAGTTGGGCCAGAGCCGACCACTGACTGCTTCAGTGCTGTCATGTACGGAGAGGCGGAGGGAATCATCCCTGGGAATGCCCTCACAGTGGATCCGAAGAAGCCCTTCCGCAACCTCGGCCCTTTTGGAAATTCTTTTCTGAACAGGTGACTCAAAAAGACACAAAAGCAGATAGAGGAATGGGGGAGAGTAAGAGGAGTTCTATGTTATTTCTTGCAAAAGTCATCGATTATACTTTTGACTTCTCTCTTTTATTCACAAATATTTTTTCAATGCAGGTTTCAGTGCGTTCAGATGCCAAATCAAGTGCTTGAAAGCATCAGCATTATCGACACACCAGGGATATTAACTGCTGCTAAGAGAAAGCTGAGTAGAGGTGAGATACCTTGCTAATTTCCTTTTCAGTGGCAGAAGCTATTAATGGGCCTTAATGTCCTCATATTCAAGTTTTAGACAAGAGTTGGACAGCATCATTGTTGTCAGGGGGATTTAAATTCCTGAAAAGTGGAGTCATAGTGGAGGCAATAAAATAACAGGATTTCAGTCCAACATGTGAAGTCAGAAGCACAGCAAACAAAAGTAATGTGACACTAAAGTTGGGAGGAGACGAGCAGTAAGTAAAGGAGCTGCCATTGCTTTGTTTTATGGAGGAATTAATCTATGGGTGTAACTGAAATTACTCAAAACCAGTGAGAATCACTGTGATGTGTTTCTACAGTCAGTGCTGATGAAAACCCTGTGTTTTTGTTGCTACATCCCTAGGCTACGACTTCCCAGCAGTGCTGCGCTGGTTTGCGGAGCGTGTGGATCGAATCATCTTGCTCTTCGATGCACACAAACTTGAGTTCTCTGATGAGTTAACCCGGGCTTTTGGGTCTCTGTGTGGCTACGAGGACAAGCTGCGTGTGGTGCTCAACAAGGCCGACAGGGTGGACTCACAGCAGCTCATGAGAGTGTACGGCGCTCTCATGTGGTCGCTGGGGAAAGTGTTTCGGACCCCGGAGATCCTGCGGGTATACATCGGATCGTTCTGGTCGGAGCCCAGGCAGATATGCGACCACTACCAGCTGATAGAGCTGGAGGAGGAGGATCTTTTGACTGACATAAGGAACCTGCCGCGGAATGCTGCAGTACGAAAGCTGAATGACCTGGTGAAGAGGGCACGCTTAGTACGGGTAAGAGATGGTGTCCATCACATGTAGCAAAAATAGTTTTGGCTCCGATTTGGCAAACATCCTACATGTGGCCCGCATACCACATGAAAGGATGACACTTGGGCAGTCTGCTCCTCTTTGCCAGATCTGGGCCACAAGTCAGCCATAGCAATACAGCATGTTAACCAAAGGTGGCCAGAATTTGATTTATGCTATTCGGGCCATATTCACCATTTACCACATCTTAGGTTCACATCCAGATTACCCCTCATCCTAGGGCAGTGCATGTTTGCCAAAAAAGGAATAAATGTTTAAAAATCCAGCTGCAGATGATCATGTGTCTCATTGGAGTTTTGCTACCTTCCCAGGCTCATGCACATATTATCAGCTATCTAAAACAGGAGATGCCGACCATTTTCTGCAAAGAAAGCAAGAAGCACAACCTGATTTATCAGCTTCCTGTGATTTTCACCAAGATCCAGCAACAGCATCGAGTCCCAGCTGGTGACTTTCCTGACTGCACCAAGATGCAGGTCAAACACCACGTTTTAATTGCTACCTTATTAACATATATGTTTTCATTTCCCTAAATATGTTCTGTGTGTCTTACATGTAACTGCATAAATCTACAGGAGAAACTTCTGGGTCACGATTTCTCAAAGTTCAAGACCCTGAAACCAAGTCTGATGGCCTCCCTAGATAAACTTCTGACTACCGACATAGCGAACCTGGTGCCTTTACTTCAACAGCAAGCAGTGAAGAAGAAGTCCCTCCCTGGTGTGTTGGACGGAGACTTTTTGGGAACGTTCCGGCCCGAGCATTACAAGAGAGATCCTTTCAAGGAGCTCCCCAGAGACGATGAAAGCAGTGAGGCAGATTTCGACGAGTGGATCGTGGAGAAGTACAAGCCCAAGTACGATGAGATTTTCTACAACCTCAGTCCAAATGCGGGCAAACTGAGCAGCAGCAAAGTGAAACAGTGGATGACAACCACGCTCCTGCCGAACTCTGTGCTCGCTCACGTCTGGAGGCTGTCTGATGTGGATGGAGACGGCATGTTGGACAATGAGGAGTTTGCTTTAGCAGTCCACCTTATTGAGGGGAAACTGGAAGGCCACTGGCTGCCCCGAGAGCTTCCCTCTCACCTGGTGCCACCGTCAAAGCGGCTAAGTACAGCCAGCGAAGAAGAGTAAACAAGACATCGAGAGGAAGTGGAAGACTGAGGACATGTCTCCATTATATGTGAAATATCATTTTCTAAATCTAATCTAATCATAGGATCCATTTGTACGTTAATCAGCATGACACCAAAACATTAAGTTCATGTTTAATGGTTTTGGTCACTGCAAACGTTTTTAATGTCACATTTCACTTCAGAATTTGGCACAACATCAATACAGCAGTAATTCTAACCTTCAACCTGGAATTTTCCTTTAGGTTATATATATTTATAATCTTACGTAATAAAAATGTATCTCTTTTTAATGCAATTAAACTTATAAAGATGATTAGCCAGCATTATTATTAATTATTTGTGATAGCGTTATAATCATCATCATCATCATCAGGGTCATGTTGGTACTCACGCAGGTGGCAGAAACGACCATATAACCCTGGAGAACACAGACAGGCTCCAAACAGACGATGACAGTGTCCGTTGTTTGGGCAGTTACACTTTCTTCTACAGTGCCTCCCGAAATAACCTCTTGGGCAACCTGTGAACATGAATAATGACAGGAAACATATTCATAGTTCTGGTAGGATGCCTGCTTCAGTAAAACAAGCTCTACTGGAATAAAAGCACAGGATGACAGTTAAACAAGGTTGGGTAAAATAAAGGGCCTCAAAATTTCTAGCATAAAGTCACAATATGTTTTGCAAAGCATAACAATAATTCATAATTTTTTCTTTTTTTTTCTTTTTAAGAAAGTGGGTGTGTGTGTTTATGTCTGCTTAAAGTATGTATCTATAGAAGAAAGACTGCACAAACCATCCTCACAGAGCAGGCCCTGTACCCCTGGGGGACACAAACACTTCCCAGTCACAGGGTCACACAAACCTCCATTCTGACAACGGCATAGACTGTTGCAGGCCTGACCATATGTCCCCTGTGGACAAGCTGCAGAGAGAAAGAGGAGGTGGGAGGTTAGAAAAAAAAAGCACTGACACCTTAATATCAGAATGAATAACAATCAGACCGGGAAATTAAAGGTCTAAGCACTGGTGGTAAGAAGTCAGTCAACACTTCCTCTTTATTCTGTGTCTCTCCATGTGTGTCCTCTCCTCACACTCCTGATCCCTGTGGCCTTGTGAGACATTATAACATGAACCATCTGGCTGTTGGAGACGTGTTACAATCCCTCACGTTAATGTGTGATTAAATTCCATGTCACATAGCAGCTTTACGTCACTCCATGGAAAGATAAGCCAGCTAGAATAATCTGTGGGGTTAACTGCATCACGCAACCATATATATATAGTCAGAAAGTGAAAATAATGATGACTAAAGAAATCAACTAGCAGAAAGGGTTTAGCTGAACAAGAATAAATAAGCAACAGGATAACTATGTAGGATAGCATTAAATAAATTCTATCCATATTTTATTTAATCATGTTGTCATGTATAAGACTGTATATAAAGATAGATGACGTGTCTTCACTTCCTCCCACTATCCAAAATATCCCATATAAGAACACCACCTTGTTGCACAATTGAACCAAGAGTCCGCATAGCAGCAATTAAGGGATGGAGCCATTACAAGATTTCAACCAATCACAAGTCAGTCTCAGCTGTCAATCTTGACGTTTAAACCTTTACTTTTAGCATCAAAAAAACGTACAGAATGTTTCATCAGTGTGATGAGAACTACTTTGAATTATAAGTTTCTTGTGTCTATTTTGACTTTTTGGTTTGGTTCACATCCAATCCCCTAACATGGGGAAGGTCGGACTTATGACCTGTACTGCAGACATCAGCGGGTGGTCAAGACGCTTTGGCTTCACTTTTGGGGAGTGGATAGAAGTTACAGAAATCTGTTTTAAGAATTTAACTGGGAAGCAGATTGTAAAAAGATAGGTTAAAACTTAACTTGCTATATTGCCAGTACATGAACCTTTAGTTTAAACAAATTTTTGTGTTTCTTGAGGCTATAACTTCATAAAAAAGGTGGTGAAGTGACATCAGTCAAATCGTGTGAGACAAAGTGGTAGAATATTTTATTTCATTTTTAAAGGCCATTGAAGGTCCAAAGCTGTCACCATCTTTTGAGCAGTTTGCAGTTCTTTATAGACCACATGTTATTACTCTACAGTGGCTATTCCCATATCTGTGCAATAGGCAGTAAAATTGGACATCTACTCTACTCAACCTGAAAATGCTGCCCATGTCCAGACACATCACCTTCAGGGTGTGCATCTGAATACCACCACCTGAGGTGCGTGTTTCTAAAAGTGACAGATTGCTTCTAACGGACTTCATCCCAAGTGGCTCTCTTCACATGATTACCAGCCTGACTCCTGTTCGGAGCAAAGACAGCCATTAATCATGGAGCCTGATGGGAACAATGGAGCTTTGCTTTAGTAGTGGACATCCTTGGCCTCAGGCATGTGCTCTCGCTGTGGGCCCTGCATGGCCTCGCTCCAGTAGCAGACAGATTGATTCACCCGGTGCTCTTGTGTTCAGGAGCCCGTAAACAAGCCAGCCTCCCACGCAGAGGAGCCGACAGGTTTTGATACATGGCCCTGGATCGATGCACAGTGGGAGCGCTCTCATCTCCACAACTACACCACATCATAGCTCAAATAGACCTATGGAAGAGGTTATATTCTGTGGGGAAAGTTAGTAATACTGTATGTGTGTGTGTTGGTACTTTCCAGTTAATATTATATACATGTCGTGTGTATGATCTGAACCTAAAATGTTTATTTTGGTCTCCGGGCTGTATCAATCTTCACATCTAACTCTTTTCTTCCAAAATGTCCAACTATTAAAATGGTGCAGTCAGTTTAGTGTGACCCATGCTTGTGTTTTATTGTACAGCAACATCTAGTAGTCATGTGAGAGAGACTCTGTCTTTTGTACAAAGGCCCCAAAAGGATGTTTATATTCAAGTGGTAAAGCTTTCAATCGGCTGCTGTAATTATGAGGAAGGTGTTGCAACTGAGTCCATGCAAGGGGGAGGCCAGAGTGGAGGATTGGAGATAAACATGGGAGAGATTACATTATAGATCCAATCAAACAATCAGCATTTTTTCTTTTTTTAAGCATTTGTCATCTTAAATACAAAAGTATATAAATGTATCTTTAATATTAAACCAAGACAATGAACATCCTCAACCTCTCTCTGTTAACTATCACTTTTCCCTAAACCTGACCACATTGTTTTTTTGCCTAAACATGACCAGTCATTTATTTTCAAAAGGAGATTAGCGACAAAAGGCCGAAGTGATCATTTAAACTGAAGGATGTGTTGATTCCTGGAGGGAAAAATATCTTAATGACACTGTAAATTAAAAATAAACAAGGTTATGTAGGGTTCAGCTCACTGTAGCACTTTCTCTGTTGCAGAGAAACAAAGTTACACACACAATGCACAGGAATGTAGAATTTCTTTGTATAAACTGGACTTACTCATGTTGCAGATGATCCCAGTCCATCCAGGTGAACATTGACACCTGTCTCTGTTTTCACTACACTCTCCATTCACACAGTCTTCACAACTCGCACTGCAGTCATCCCCGAATGAGCCGTCTAGACACACTGAAAAAAACATATGAATATATAATATAAAAACAATAAAATAACGTCCATCTGATTTCTCATCTTAGTCTCATCACTTGCATGTTTTACTGTACCTGTGTGACTGTCCAGCCTAAGTTCTCCCCTGCGATCTCTCTGCATCTGTGATCCTTTTTCACTGTCTCCAGCATCACTACCTTCATCATCAACACCGTGATAACGGGAGTGTAAGGCTGCTGTGTACTGCAGGAGCTGAGGAGCCTTGCGGAAGAGCAGATCTGGTAATCTGTGGACCTCCAGCTGCTCTTCATCATCTTCCTCCTCGTCCTCTTCTTCCAGTTCTCTGCCATACAGAGCTAAACACACCCAGCACAAGGTTAGGGTCGTGATTAAGCTCCATCAGAATCAGAATCAGAAAAGCTTTTATTGCCAAGTAAGTTTGCACATACATGGAATTTGTTTTGATGAGACCCAACTGTGATTTGTGAATATGGGCTATGCAAATCAAATTTGTTTGATTGATTGATGATAAATTAGGATATGGCTTTTCTATTCAGGGTACCTAGAGTACAAACGTTACTCACAGATACAGGAGTGCTGGTCCTGATCCAAGCGGAAGCCGAGTCGACAATAGCATTCGTATGTTCCCACGGTGTTGACACAGTAGTGTTCGCAGCCTGAAGTTTCTGCCAGGCACTCATCAATGTCTGTCAGAGGAATTCACAAACATCATACTGCGGAAGAAACGATAGAGTAATAATAGCTCAGTTTAAGTGTAAGTGTGTCTCTGGTTGGTTTGTTTGAAGTCTATCCAGGTTGCACACTACTGTTTTTTACTGGTGATGCATTTTTTCTTTAGAAGACAGTTGAGACAGTGATCATAGCCTGTACATAAATTGGACGAAATGACAGCTCCCAAAGTGAAGCCCAAGCATCTTGATTGCCACCTAGTGGCTGACTGCAGTATATGTCATAAACCCTGCCTCCATGTTAGTGGATGAGACATGAACTAAAAAGTAATTTCTCCATTAAGCTTGGTGAAATGTCATTATTGACAGTTGAAACTGACTCCTGATTGGTCCATCCCCTGGTCGCTTGCACAGACTCTGGCTCCAAATGTGCAAGATACTTTAGCTGCATTCATATCCAGAGTATTATAGCTTCATTTTTATTTAGTGGGAGTAAGTGGAAACGTGTAAGATACAGACGATGGTTGTGATACACAAGCAACCATAGCAGCTGATAGAGCCATCCATGGTGGTCTTGTGTCTCAGAGATAAATAACATTTGACTAAATATGTATTTAACTAAAACTAAAATAACAGTTTGTAGTCTTGCTGTCTGGAGTAGCTGCTTGTTACAGCAGGGTACAGAAAATGCTTTAAAAAGCACCGGACCAGGCAATCTCCAATGGTCTCTTACCATCACAGCCGCAGCCATCTGGGTTAAGTCTGTGGCCGGCTCTGCAGCTGCACTCGTAGCCGCCCCGGTAGTTCCTGCAGAAGTGACTACAGCACGACTCCCCACTGACACACTCATCACTATCTGAGAACGGCACAAAATGGTACAGGGTTTCAGCAGACAGATGGACAAATAAGGAAACCAAAAGAGAATATCAAATATCAAAGAAGAGTGAATGAAAAAAAACACATAAACAACATTGGAGAACACTACCCAGAGGAGTAAGAAGAAGCCACAGGCAGAAATGAGAAATTCTTACCCACACACGTGTTCCTGTCTTGGTCCAGCTGGTAACCGTGGTTGCAGGAA